ACGTTTTAACACAATAACTAAGAAAATTACGTGAAGGCTATGTTAACCAGTTTGATGGAAGTATTTCGGATTGTTTGTGAAAACACCACACTGTACCCCAGAAGTGCATTAATGTATAGCTACTATTCAATAAAAAAAACAAAAGAAAAAAAATAAAATTAAATTTCCTCCCCCCTCCGAAAAAAAAAGAAAGAAAGAAAGACACAGAAGATTAGTATATATTGTGAGCTTCTATTTATATAAAGTTCATGAACTAGCAAAACTGTTCACCGTGTTTAAAGTCTGAGTGTTGGTAACGTATGAAAAGAACAAAAGATGGAATGATTGGGAGGGTTAATTAAAAGACTTTCAGGGGTGTTGATACTGTGCTATGTATTGATCATTTCAGCATTTAGATATGTGGATTTTCTTTATGAACACACATACTAAAGTTTTGTGTACTTTTCTAAATATATATTATACTTCAATAAATAGGGTGTTTTTAATTACAGCCTATGATTTAGTGAAGGTAGAACATTCAAGCATTTAGTTTTACATCAAATCAAACATAGTGCTACCATCATTTTATGCCTAATGGAGAATTTTATTTTACTTTTCTTTCCACTCTTAGTTAAAGGCTCCCAATTTTCTTTCCATGAATGCTCCCAGCTTATATCTGACCCCTACATGACTCAGTACTTTCATGTACTTTTTAGAAATGCATATTAAATGGTGCTATTACTGTCGATTTTGTTTTCTTTTAGATTCCACATGCAGCATTAAGAATGGCAGATGCAAGCAATTTTGTAAAAAGAGTGCAGATAACAAGGTGGTTTGTTCCTGTACTGAGGGATACCGGCTTGCAGAAAACAAAAAGTCCTGTGAACCAACAGGTCAAAATCTGAATATGTTTTGGTTTTTTTTGTTTTTTTTAAGAAAATCTGTATTTGAATCTTCAGCATTTTAACTAGCCTACATAATTTTAATCCCTACTTCTATTTCCTTTTAAAATCATAGAAAAGATCAGTAGCTTGAACTGGACAAATTAATTTTCTAAAATGCATAAATATAAATTATGTAATAATGTCAAATTTTTTCTGGCTCTTATATTATGAAGCAATTGATTTATATGATTTCTGGATACATATTTGTAATTCATCAAGTCAAATTAATGTAGTAATACTATACCATAAAATAAACATAAATGATTAAATGAGTGATAGGCTTTTAGTAGAAGGATGGTGAATTTTAAGCATTGTTCTCTCAGGGCCTGGCTAGTTTACTTTGACAAAGTTATTTGCTATCCTTGGGACTCAAGCTGAGTTTACACACTTGGTATCAGAATGGTTCCAGGAACTAACTGTTTTAAGTTCTGCTAGGCTGATCAGCACAATCTATACCACAGTAAAAAAAGCTATGTTTCCCAGTAATATCAACCATGCCACCATCCATGCTGATTGGTGTATTCAAAGCATCTAGACTCCATGCTCCTTTCTGGAGATAAGAGCAGTAGAAACTTTGATTTAAAAAAAAAAAAACAGCCCCATCAGGATCAACTATATTTGATAAATGAGGAGCCATTTAAAAGAAACTAGATATAATTTCTTTTGCATTTCCAAAGCCTGATATCTTGTAAAATTGATACATTAAATCATGCACCATTCCTCTGTAACTGAGTTCGATACCTATCTTAACACTGCACCAGGCAGAGGAAATTAAAGAACTAGAAGCAAGAAGTACATGTTATAACTAAAATTAACATTTTTAATACTTCAGGGCCTGCCCAACTTTCCTTCTCCCTCAAAGCTAGCCTACTTAGGGAGGCATGTGTATTTGTTAACCTTTAAAACCTAGCTTCCAGTCTAGACAGATGACATAGCAGCTAAACCATTACAAGCCCTTCTATGTTATGAGAGGAAAATGAATTAAGAACCCCCTCCAACTATTAAGTGTTTCATTTGAATATAGCCTTAGCTTTAGTAGAATAAGTAGGCCATACTGAAACAAGATTTTCTGCATCTTCGACGATAATGGTCCCTTTTCTCTAGCCATTGTTGATCATGTATATTTATACATATGTATTTTGTACTAATTTCCTGTCCTCTCAACCACATGCTGTCTTTGTGATACTTTGCCACAGCTGGTTGCTATAGAAATGTCTGTTATAAGGAATGTGGCTGAAGCGAAGTGAGAAATGAAAATGAAACGTCAAGTGACTTTGACTACAAATTTCCATTCTGGTATCCCCAAATATATCAGTAGATGATTTATAGTTTTTACTAGCCCAAGGAGAAAAGGTGGCCAGATCCTTGTAAATATGGCTGTGATAATCATATTAGTAATGTATTTGATTAATATTTCATAACCAGGTAACTGAAGCATAATTCTCTCCCCCAACAAATACCTAAAATCCACCTTGGAATATAGAGTTCTAGACCACAAAAGAAACCCTGTTGATAAACAGGAGAAGTTCCACTTACCTAATTCTAAAATTAAAATTACACTGCACCAATCATCAGACTTTCATTCATGGATGGCAACTGGGAATAAGACCTTTTAGTAAAGAAATTGAAGAGATGCTATACAAGTCTTACCAAATTTGATTCCAGAATACCTATTCTATTTCCATAAAAATGATGAATTCCAGAGCCAAATGTTCTTTTCATGAAGGTTTTCAAAACTTTCCACAAAATAATGCAATCAACCTTTTAGTTTGAGACTATATTCACTAATTAGATCTTTTAAAACATTGATGAGCCTGCTTCTCAGAAGTGACAAGTACAATTTTTGTAATACATGTCCCATTTGCCAATGAGATATATCAGAATACTATTTTTTTTCTATTTTTCTAGTGCCGTTTCCATGTGGAAGAGTTTCTGTTTCACTCACTACTGAGCTCACCCGTGCCGAGACTATTTTTCTCAACATGAACTATGAAAATTCAACTGAAATGGAGACTATTTCAGATAATGTCACTGAAAGCACTCAATCACTTCAAGATGTCACTCGGGTTGTTGGAGGAGAAAACGCCAAACCAGGTCAATTCCCGTGGCAGGTACTTTTTATATTGATGGTGTATCAAAACTGGAGATCAGAAGCCAAGAGATAGGCCAGGTGGGAGACTGAGTCTAGGACGCTAGATAGACCTATCTAAGTACAGTAGAACCTCTTTAAGTTGACCACCCAAGGGACTGTAACAAACTGGTCAACATACAGAGGTGGTGAACATGAGAATCTAGGCCTACTGTACTGATACATACATATAGTGCATGTCCAGTCTACTAAAATTAGGTCAACCTAAGGAAGTGGTCAATGTAGGGAAGTGGTCAACTATGGAGGTTCTACTATATTTAGGCAAGTTTCAGCACTAAGCAATATGAGAAAGCCTCCATAGGTGAGCAGCTGGTGAAAGAAAAGTCCAAAACCAGCTAGCCTACATGGTCAAGAAGAGTTTGCCTTCAAGGAAATAGCATAACAAGATTCCAGACAAGCAACTAGTCAGCAATATGGAGGTCTAGAAGAGAGGTCACAGCTATTGAGTTCAGGGTACCACTTGAGCCTCAGACCTTGGAAAAACCGATAAGAGCTTGAAAGTCTCTAGGCCCAGAAAAAAATTGGGTTATTTTGAAGGGAGAAAGGAAAAGGACTCAACTAGGAAGTCTTAAGGCAAGAACTAAATTCCTTGAACCAGGATATCAGATAGGGCCTTGTTACACAGCTATAGTTCTCAAAGCGTGGCAGCATCAGAATCACCTGGAGACTCATTAGAAATGCAGATTTTCATGCTCCAACCCAGATCTAACAAATCAGAATCTCTGGGGGTGGGGCCAAGCTGTGTGCAAACAAGCCCTGCAGGTGATTCCGATGCAAACTACAGTTTGAAAACCACTGGTTCAAAGGAAATAAATTTGTTACAGAAGCTAGGGTCTAAAACATCAAATAATGGCCTCATGGCACCTGGTCCTGCAAGTGTGGTCTGCAAACAACCAACATATGCAGAATTACCTATGCACAGTTTTGATTTAACAACCAAGATCTAGATTTGTAGCCAAACCTGAGTTGTAACTGAGCCTACAGCTAAGTTAAGGAATCTCACTGATTCCTTCCATCAGTGAGAAGGAATAGGACTGCCCCCACTTCCAGACAGGGAACCAAGGCTAGTCCTTATAAAAAGTTGTGCTGTCCAATAGGCTTCTACTAGGCACATTAAGCTATATACATTTAAATTAACATAAATAAAAATTCAATTCCTCAATTGCATTGGCCACATTTCAAGTACTTAACAGCCACATGTGGCTAGTGGCTAATGTATTGGACAATGCAAGTATAGATAGAACACACCAATCACAGCAGAATTTTTTTTTTTTTTGAGACCGAGTCTCACTCTGTTACCCAGGCTAAAGAGCCAAGGCATCAGCCTAGCCCACAGCAGACTCGAACTCCAGGGTTCGAGCAATCCTCCTGCCTCAGCGTCCCAAATAGCTGGGACTACAGGCACCTGCCCCAACACTCAGCTAAGAAATTTCTTTTGAGCAGTGACAATCTAAAGACTCCCTAGTAGCCAAAATCATGATTTCATAGTCATTTCAAGGATACTTTACAATATTTTCTCCACTAAGATTTGAACTTCTGCCAATCAGAGACTGATAGCTTTAAACACTTTTCAATCATCAGACTGCTAACAATTTAAGCCAAGAACAAGTAAATGTCCCCAGGTTTAGCACCACCGAAATTTTCTGAGACTAACAAGATATTATCTCCAGGATTCTTCAGAATGCCTGCCATTTTCCAATATAATGGATGTGAGGTATTAAACATACCTGGGGATGGAGGGAATCTGCACAAGCGTTAAGGAGAATGGTATTAAAAGGTAGCAGAACATCACAACCAACACTTGATGTTTCCCTTTCTTTAACCTTTGCTTTTTTCTTTGAAAACAATATTTGTTGTACCTGATCTTATAGCCAAAAAAATACACTACTACATCCCTTTACACCCTGTCCCTAATTAAGTGCACCCTACCAGGGCTGCTTCCATCACCCATCATAACCTCTTCCTTCACTCATCCACACCTTTACTATTCTTTACAATTCCTTGTAAGATTGACCCTCTCCATCCACCTTTCCGTGAACAATCCCTCTTCAGTAATTCACTCTAATTATGCCTTCAATCTATTACATATCTATGTATCAAATTCTATCTAATTTTGTCATTTGTGTTGTCATGCATTGTCATTCATTATGTATCCAACTTCCCTTGATAAGGTAGATACAACAAAAGATCCTACTTTATGACAATTATCTTCCTTGGGTTCATGGGACATAAAATAGTCCTTAGACTGGAGGCTTGACAAACCCAACAGTTTATTCTTAGCTAAAAAGATGACTTATCTTTTAAAATGTGCCAGGATGTAAAAAAAATAAAATAAAAATCTCAGGATATGTGCATTTTGGATTCAGCATCGGCCCCTTGTCATCCCACAAATGAAATGTCAAATACACTTAAACTAGAGCTAAAAAGGGGAGGGGTATAAAATCTCAGTTTACTCACATCTGTTTCCCACCCCCTTTCATCCAGATATTTGCCAATGTTTTAACAATGTAGATCTTCCCTAAAAGAAATTTTAGTAACTCTAGCAGACATTTTACTTTTTCAAGCAGAAGAGACTATTAGATTACAGTTGCAGTTGTTCAGTAAAGAAGATATAAATGATGCACATCATTTCAAATCTTTTCATGTTCTTCCTACTGCAACTTAGTTATTGTGCCAGTTGTCTTTTCTGTCCAACCTAGCTACCATCATTTTGAATGTTCAAGATCACTCACACACGTGCGCACACATGCACATACACATTCACTCTCTATTTGATCTATATGAACTAAGATTACTGATTTTTTGAGGTACAAAGACAAGGAGTTGAGCTACATGCCAGGATAGTTGAGAAAGGCCCTGTCATACTTCTGCATTATTTCCTCCAAAACACTTCCACCTAGTTCCTCACAAAAAGTTACTGGTTTTCAGAAACCTGAGACAAGTTGAGGGTGTAAAAGTCACTTCTAGACAATGAAACAAGAAATAAAACAGAATCTCTCCTTATTTGTGGATGGCCCAGCTGCACCAAGTCAAGGTTCACCTGTAAAAAGGAAATACTAGATTTGATTGCCGTCAACACTGCAGCAAACCTGCCATGGCCAGGGCATCAAGAGCAGGCAAGCCACAGCTGGGACTTCAGTGATCAAAATAGTTCATATCTGGCTCTGAAATATGAAGTACTATTTAGCAATCCTATTTTCACCTAGAAAAGAGTGTTTTAAAATGCTGGTGCTTCATAGAAGCCTCTCTTCAGAACTGATTATTTTTATCTTTTAAATTGGCCAGCTGGACACCGTGGCTCAGGCCTGTAATCCCAGCACTCTGGGAGGCTGAGGTGGGACCACTGCTTGAGCTCAGGAGTTCAAGACTGGCCCTAGCAAGAGCAGAACCCCAGTTTCTACTAAAATAGAAAAATTAGTTGAAGAGGGACTTTACCTAACAAATGCAAATGCAACCTAATTCTTTGTACCCTCAATGAATCCCCAAACAATAAAAAAAAATAGCCAGGCTTTATGATGGACACCTATAGTCCCGGGTACAGGAGGCTGAGGCAGGAGGATCACTTGCACCCAGGAGTTTGAGTTTGATGTGAGCTAGGCTGACACCAGTGTACTCTTAGCCTCCTAGGCAACAGAGTGAGAGTCTGACTCAAAAAGGGGGGGGGTGGGGGCGGAGGCAGCAAAGGTAGGAGAGAAAGTGATCACCAGGTGAAGAAATCCCACAAAGAAGAATATAGAGACCAGGCCCAGTGGCTCACACCTGTAGTCCTCATACTCTGGGAGGCCAAGATGGGTGGATCGCCCAAGCTTAGGAGTTGGAAACCAGCCTGAGCAAGAGCTAGACAACATCTCTACTAAAAATAGAAGAAAAAAAAAAAACTATCCAGGCATTGTGGTGGGCACCTACAGTCCCAACTACTCAGGAGACTGAGGCAAGAGGATCACTTGAGCCTAAGGGTTTGAGGTTGCTGTGAGCTGTGATGCCAAAACACTTTACCCAGGCACAGAGTGAGACTCTGTCTTAAAAATAAGAAAAGGAAAGAAAAGAGAGTGAGAGAAGGAAGGAAGGAAGGAAAGAAAAAAAGAACATAGAGCATTCACTTTCATCTGGAGTAATGAACAGTTTGAACAAACTGGAAATATTTAGTTAAAGAAAAGGTTTAGGTAGGGCGCCAGCCCCATATTCCGGAGGTGGCAAGTTCAAACCCAGCCCCGCCAAAAACTGAAAAAAAAAAAAAAAGTTTTAGGTGAGCTATTTCCAAGAGCTACAGGGAAAAAGGGAAGACGACCTTTTTCTTTGTGGACTTAAGGGTGAAAGTTGGAGGCAGGCAGGCAGATCCTTGCCCCGTTAATAAAGCCCCAACCACTGGGTTCTTACATAGGCTGGGCAGCGGGGCGCCTGTAGCTCAGTGAGTAAGGCATAGGCCCCATATACCGGGTTCAAACCCGGCCTCGGCCAAACTGCAACAAAAAAATAGCCGGGCGTTTTGGCGGGCGCCTGTAGTCCCAGCTACTCGGGAAGAAGTCCCAGCTACTTAGGCGATTCTCTTGCCTAAGCCTAAGCCCAGGAGCTGGAAGTTGCTGTGAGCTGTGATGCCACAGCACTCTACCAAGGGTGACAAAGTGAGACTCTGTCTCTTTAAAAAAAAAAAAAAAAGGTGAAGAAATGTTTGTCGGAATTGACTGGAACAGCCGTTCTGTCGCTGGGGACAGCGGCGGCGGAAAGCCCCCTCCAGGGAGCGTGCACAGGGGTGTTCGTTCACCTGGTGAGAGACGACAGCAGGCTAGGGAAGCAGCGCTGAGACCCGACGGAGCCTTCCACCTGCCCGTCGGGGGTCGCGCTCACTCCTCACCTCAACTCTAGGGCTTCCGCCTCAGCCTGTGGGGCTGGAGGCCAAGGCCCCGCAGCCGCCGGCTCGCGCCCTTCGCTTCCCAGGAGCCCCCACAGTTCCGGCGCGGCGCG